GGATGCTAGGGTGGATGGAAGAGAATTGACTGCAAAAAGAGCTTTAGAGAACTTTTTGGGTGAACATGTATTAGTACTACATCTTGATGACGGTGGTGTAGTGGGTGTTCACATTTGTCAAAACCCTTCAAACTGTAAACTTACAAAGCTTGCATTTTATTATATCTAATTTATACTCATTTAAGAAAGTTGATAGAGGTGGACAGAGGACATTATAATTCATTTCACATCAATTAAATTTAGAGTCAATATTAAGGCCTATCACAATTCCATGTTAGCAGACCTTTTAAATATCCTGAAAAAACTTTTACATATTGCCTGTAATTAACATTATTTTCAACAGAATTTCCATGATTTAAAAAAATCTAAAATTAGAAAAAATTCCCACATTTAGTTTTTAATATATCACATGCTTACTTTCAAATATACTCTGCACTAATTTTTGTTGAGGTTTGAGGGAGTCATAAAATAATATCCCTTGTTCCCTCCTAACTTCCGAACCACTTGAGAGACACAGTCAGACAAATGAGGATTCAATATAACAGATTTATTGCTGAAAAAGTTTAGGTTAGAGGATGGAATTTAGGTTTGTGCCAACAATGTCCTTTTCATGAACCCAGAATTAGACAGAACTGCTCGGTGAGGCATGGACAGTTCTTCACAAGCACAGGGCTCCCCTTGAAGAGGCAGAAAGCCTTCACGCAAGGCTCACAATGTAGCTGGGAAGAGAGCACACACAGGCTCTCTGCAGGCATGACAAATCCAACAGGGGAGAAGGAGCTAGCATGTTCAATTCTGTATCTTCAACTCCCTCCTTTCCTGTGGAGATGGAGAGAGAGATCAGCATTCCTTGCTTGGTTGATGTTCTGAGAAAAACTATGAGAGGAAGCCATCCCCACCTCATTGCCTTCCCTAATGTACAGATCAGCACGTCTCAACCTTTCTGCCACTTGGCCACATTGTGGTGCTAGGACTCTGTTGGAATCCTGCCAACGTCACCAATTGTCGAGCTTTTTTACTTGCCTGTAACCCTCACCAACTGGGCCAATTGTCGAGCTAGGGCTGGGTCTGGAGCTCACAGACCCCTCAAGCCCATTCACAGACTGGGTCACAAACACTTCACACTCCAGGCTGGGTCCCCAGACCCCTCACATGCCAGACTGGGTCACCAAACCCTTTACACGCAGGTCTAAGAGCTAGGTAACCAGCAAACAGGTCCTTGGAAGCCGCAGGTTGGAAAGCATGGCCGCTTGCGGCGGCTGCGGAAGCAGTAGGACACCAGCCAAGGAGGTGGCGCCCCCAGGCCACTAACTCCACCCACACACAACCTATTCACAGCAAATGCTTGGCAAGATTCTGAACATCTTAAGGGCCCTGACCATTTTCCTATATTTTCCCAACAATTCACCCTTTCAGGGTCCCTCACCGCACAATCTATGCATTCAGAATCTTCCATGACGTTACCTTAGCGAGGATAAATGACCCTTACATTCACATATTACACATTCCATCCCAGCTCCAAAAGTCTTTAGCTTGTTCTAGCACCAACTTATAAGTCCAAAGTCCAAAGTCTCATCTGAGACCAAAAGCAAAACTCCTTCCAGCTGTGAACCTGTAAAGAGTCAAAAACAAGTTTATCTACTTCCAAGATACAGTGGGACAGATATTGGGTACACATTCCCATTCTAGAAGGGAGGAATAGAGAGGAAAAACAGTCCCCAAACAAATCTGAAACCCAAACAGGGCAAATGTTAAGCACACTGGGGCACCTAGACCCCTAAAGCGTTGGGCAACCTCGCTCCTACAACTCTGCCAAGTGCAGCCCATTGATATGCCTGGTGCCTGTGGCTTTTCCAGGCTGGCGCTGCACACTGCCAGCAGTCCCATGGTTCGGGGCTTCTGGTGGCAGTTCCGCCATCCTGGCTCCACTAGACATTTCCTCAGTGGGGGTTCTCTGGGGGGGCTCTGACCCCACTTTTCTGCTCCATATTGCTCCGTAGATGACCTCCACAGCAGCAACACCCCTGCAGCAGGTTTCTGCCTGAGCGCCCCCCTCCCCCTTTCAAACATCTTGCAAAATCTGGGTGGAGGCTGCTACGCCTCCACTGCTCTCACATACTGCTGGCCTGCAAATTTAACACAACGTGAATGCCACCAAGGTTTTTGGCTTTTGATCTTTGGAGGTGCTGAGGCAGAACTGCTCCAGCCAAAGTGGCTGGGATGCAGGGAGCAGTTTGCTGAGGGCAGCAGTGCCCCAGGTCTGTCCTCTGGGATGACTCAGTCCTCCTAGGATGGGAGCTGAGGGGCACTCTCCCAAACTTCTCAAATGCCCTCAGGGCCTGTGAAGGGTGGGACACCCATCCAGACTGCTCAAATGCCTTTAGGGCATTTTCCCCATTGTCCTGGTTATTAGCATCTGGCTGCCTCACTGTCAAGATAATGTCTTTAGCAAACAGTTTATCTGCTTCACCCTTGAGTTTTCCTATGGCTCTCCGTTTCCCTATCACATGGCCAGGCTGCAATCTTTACACTCTGCTTTCCTTTTAAATTCTGGCTTTTGAATTACTTCAGTCAGCTTGGCTTACACTAGCTATTCACTCAGTCTCAGGCAGTTCAGCAGCACTCACCCACACAGTTAAACAGCTGCATTCACCCGGTCCATCAAGGAATGGCTGCCCTGACTGTGCATATCTGCGGCTCTCCTGTAACTGCTGCCACCGAGACAGGCATGTAGTAACAGAGACTAACTTTTCCACCTTTTCACCAGGTGAAAACATACTTGAAATTCTGCAGGGGCACCCATCCTCGGGTCATCTGCCCATCTGCATGTGGCACTCTTTTCTCGGGTTTTACGCCACCCGGCTGGCCATCAGGTTTAAGTGGCACCCTTCAAGCCATTTGCCTTCAGACAAATGCAACATGTGTTTACTACATAGTCTCGAAAGCACATTACACCATCCACCCCTAGATCTCATAGTTGCAGCTGCTAGGGGCTCTCCCTTTTTCTGCTGCTTTACTGTCTCAATTTCTCGTGCACAACAGGTCATGCCTGGAGACGCAGGTTTCCCCCAGCTCACCACTGGGTTGGTTGTCTTCCCAGGTGTGAGAAGCAAGGATGGCCAGTCACTGCATGTTATCCCTCCAGGATAATCATCCTTGCTTCCAATGACTCTGCTTTCTGCTGCAAATTTCGATCAGTTTGCAGCATAGCGAGCAGCAGCCAGGCTCTGGTCAGCAGAAAAGTGGCCACCGGGCACCACATGCTCAAGGATAGCCACATTTCCTCCCCCTCCCAAAGGGTTTTCTGCCATAGTATCTGGTCTATGCTGCCTTGCAGTACGGTGTGAAGCAACCAGATCCCAGTCAACAGAAAAGTGGCCATAGGGGCACAGCATATTCACAAGTAGCCACATCTCCTCCTTCTTCCAAGGGCTTTTTGGCTCCTGTAACTGCTCAGAATCCTGCCGCAGACTATGCCAATTGTGGTGCTCTGCTAATGTCGGAATCCTGTCACCTGGGCCAATTGTGGAGCTCTTTTAATCCTGTTCATGATGCCAATTGTAAAGTTACTCAACCACACCAGTTCTCGGGCTCTTTTACTTGCCTGTAACCCTTACCAACTGGGCCAATTGTCGAGCTAGGGCTCGGTCTGGAGCTCACAGACCCTTCAAGCCCGTTCACAGACTAGGTCACAAACCCTAAAAACGCCAGGCTGGGTCCCCAGACCCCTCACATGCCAGGCTGGGTCACCAGACCCTTTACACGCAGGTCTATGAGCTAGGTAACCAGCAAACAGGTCCTTGGAAGCCACAGGTTGGAAAGCGTGGCTGCTTGTGGGGGAGGCAGAACACCAGCCAAGGTTGTGGTGCAACGCAGGCCACTAACTCCACCTACACACAACCTATTCACAGCAAATGCTCGGCAAGATTCTGAATATCTGAGGGGCCCTGACCATTTTCCTATATTTTCCCAACACACATACAGCAGGTGAAGTTCACATACATTAAGGCAGGATTCATCATACTCTAGCTAAAGAGCCACCCTTTCTTTTCCATTCAAAGTGGCCATATTTAGTTGCAAGTGACTAAGGTACATGACTTTATGGATAACTTGCTTTACTTCATTTTAATTTACTTTAGTAAGGGGGCAAATAATTTACAAATTTCCATATTTTAATATTGGTTAAGAAAACACAACATTTTACTTTCTCAATCCCAAAATGCCACCAATTACGAAGGACATTGTCAGTTCAATAATACCCTCTCAGAAAAAGCATATTTAATATACCAATTGATTTGAAGGTAATTATTATGGAACTATGATTCTTGTGTCAACTCACCACTCATTTAGATACACGTATCATGAAATCACAGCTCAGAATGGCTGGTCCAGAGTCAATTTAGAAGGGCTTCTGACTCAAGGAAATTAAAAGAAATGATTGGTAATTTTCTTACTGCTAGTAAAGGCAACGAAACAACCTTTGAATCATTATGTAATTGTCTTGGATTGACTGACCCCCAAAATTTAATCCCCACTGTAACTGCTGAGGGTGGGAAATCCTATTATATTAATTGAAAGGTGGGGCCTTGAAGAGGTGATTAGGTTGATGGTTTAACGGTGGTCATGGGCGTGGTTCTGAGGGCTTTAAAAGGAGGGCACATGAGGAGTTCTCTCTCTCTGCTCTGCCATTTTCTGCCATGTGAGACTCCTGCATTGCTGTAAAGCCACCACCAAAGAAGACCCTCACCAGATGCCATTTTCTGCCATGTGAGACTCCTGCATTGCTGTAAAGCCACCACCAAAGAAGACCCTCACCAGATGTGTTTCTGGGATTTGGGACTACCCAGCCTCCAAAACCGTAAGCAGTAAATTTTGTTTTCTTATATATTACCCGGTTCCAAGTATTTTGTTATAAGCAACAGAAACTGACTAACACAGTAAAGCATAATTTTCAAACTAAAAAAGATATACTGTTCAGTTATCATCATGGAAACTCTAGCTTTCTGAAAGTTTTTTTTTTTATTTCAAGTCTTCATTATAGTTTTGCCATCAAACATCATTTTAAAAGATTTTCATACTTAAATCACGACCACAAATTATGTACACAGGCCAAGTTGCAGTAGATATTGATTCTGTGATCCATAACTTGCATGACTTCTCAATGTTTATGTAGCATTTGTTAGCAAATTTAAGATAAACTAAGAGGAGAACCTATTTTCTAGAGAATAATATATGATTCTCAGGTCATCAGGCATGGTCTAAATGTGTACTGTTCTGATTAATGAGTGTCTATGTCATACAATTTTCAAACAAGAATAATTTAATTATATTAAGCATAATTTGAACAATAAACAGTGTTATTTCAGAAAGTATATTAAACATCTATAATTATGTCATTATCATGAACATCAATTATTTTTCTTCAGATTCATAAAGGTTTGTTGTTACAATTAACAAACTTGGGAAATATTTGTATATCAGTGTTCACATCCTTGTAAAGTAATGGATGCATTTTTTTCTTTATACATAGAATAGTGTTAGCTAAAATAAGCATCTTTTGGGGCTTGAAGAAATGAAGTGCCTCCCTTCTCCATAACTCACTACTTTTTCTCCTTCATCTTATGTCTAAACTATTTTATGTCTTATATCTGAGTAAGGAAGAGCCTAACCTGGCCTACCAACATCAACACAGAGAAAACATTAGGTTTTTTAACAGTCTAGTGGCTACATGCACTCTGTCCTGGGGAGGAGGCATAGATGTCATGCCAAGAATAATCCCCAACTGATATCCATCCATCCATCCTATAATATTGGAAGCAGTTACTTCTCACTTTCAGATAAGGAAAGTATTACAAAGAAGTTCTAAGTCAGAAGAAATGGAGGTTAAATATTTCCAAACTAATTCAAATTCTTCACAGATATAGCCAGCATTTACTGAACACTGCATGTGTGAGGCACCATGCAAGGTGCTTTATATATATTATTTTCACATAAGAAAAAAAATTAAGTAATTCAATCTTATTTTTCAAATGCTAACAATACAAAATAGGAAAATCTTCAAAATGGAAGAAAAAACTATTCGCAAATTACACAATAAACAAACACCCATTACTCAAAACACTGTACCAAATGTTGAGTACTCACTTCTCTAGATACCTATCTACCATTTAAGAATATACCTCATTAAAAAAAATAATAATAATTTACATGTTTGTTTTTTTTTAGATAACTTTAAAACTGACCTAATCAGAGCTAAATTTCTGATGATATAACTTAGGGGGAAAATACAATACTTTTCAAGGCAAGTGCTGATTTCTCCAACTCTGGAAAAAAAAGACATATGCATTCCACTAAAACAAATTTTTAAAAATCATCCTCATAAAAATGTACACAATTACCTACATGCTCCAGCAGTGTTAGGATCCCTTAACCTAAAGTAGCCTACCTTCATTGTAACAAAAAAATTAATTTTACACCAAAAATATCTTCCTGAGTATCAGAAGTAACAGTACCCAACAGTTCTATATAATTGTACTACAATATATAGTATAAAAATAATAATTCGCATTTGCAATGATAGTATTAATTTGTGAATGTAATTATGGCCTTTCAATAAAATATTTCTTTAATATATTCTCCTCATACTCGTGGTATTGTACTATAAATCACTTTCTAGTTTTTGTTTTTGTTTTTTTATGCTTAAGTTACTTACTCGTTGGCACTCTGATAATAACATCCCTAATAGAAAGATATAATTTAGCTAGTTAAAATTGTAATTATTTTTCATTTTGCTGAGAAGTTCCAAAAAAGTTATATGAGAAAGTAATTCCAAATCATCAGCTGGAAAGTTACAAGCAAAGAATTAAGTTGTTTTTAGGATTTTTAAAGCTTTTAAAAATAAAGAAAACATTGATTTTGAGTGGGATAATGAAGCAGTACAATTTGTCATGATGAAATTGTAAAAGTCATTCATTTTAAAAAAGCACATTTTAAAAATGACTCACTTGTGGTAAGGACTACTCTCAGTACTGTAACAATTAAAAAATAAAACCATCACTCTAACTTGTATCAGTACTTCACACATCTAACAAATACTGAAGGAGACAAGTACAATTGCTATAACAAACAGAAGCACAAATCAGAATTAAGAGAAACTTCAGAAAATGTTCAGAATGTACACATTTGCATACATTTTCAGCCAAACTTTCAAAGGTTCCACACATAACCAACTGACAAGTTTGAATCTAAATGAATGTGAAAAATACTCAAGCTTTGTGACAGACTTACTCTTATGAAGCAAAAAATAAATGTAAGAGTGAATAGTAACAGCAGTATATTTCTAGGAGGAAAAGAAATCACACACATCCTTTATCATAAAACAGAAGTCAACTAATCAATACTTTAATGCCACTGGCCATTCCTGTATTTACTACTCAAGAATACATTTTTCAAGTTGTGTCTTCAAAATGTATTCATTTATATATTCAGATTAAGTTTATTAATCAAAAAAAGCCATTTTATTCAGAATACTAATCTTAAGTAGTATAAATCATAACTTATCAAAGTATAATCCAAACACTATACAATAATTCTATTTAGCTTTCATATGCCTCCCCTGAAAAACTTATTTTATAAACAGTTTTGCCCTCTATCTCCAGAGTAAATGCCCCTATGTCTAAACTTTAATGGCAATCAAAAGGATAGATTCAAATAATTCCTCTATGAATACTGCTTCATCGGGCTTTGATAAAAACAGAGCCATCTGGTGGTGTAGCACCATCTTCCTTCTCTGTTACAGTCTCTACAGTTCCAGAAGCCGACACAATAACCATTGTTTTATTTGCTGACACTGTCTTCTGTTTTTCAGCAATAGCCGCACAAACAGCAACAATCTCATCACTTTCAAAGTCATAGTCAGGAATTGACTTTGGTGAAAAATGTGTTACTTCAGCTGGTGTTTCATTTTTTTTAATCCTCTGTGCTACCTTTTGCTGCTCCTGGAGCGTTCTTGCCCAAGAAAGGTCTTCTTTCCATATTTCAGGGTTCATTGGATAGATGTGAAGGGCTACCTGAAAACTTCGAATTGCCTAAGGAAAAAAAAGGTCAGAGTTTTTCATTCGTTTTGTTTTTTAAAATTTGTGTTGAATACAATATGTGTGTGTGTGTGTGTGTGTATATGTATTCTAATGTATTATTTTAATGTATTAGAACACAAAGGATAAAAGGTAGGGTTTTGTCCTAACCACTGGATAATGATTATGGTGAAAAAAAAAATTACAGAAGTGTGAAAGAAAGTGACTGACAAAATGCTGATGGACTAAAAGCCACTAAAACAGAAGTACTGATATAAGGGTTTAAGACAAAGCAAATATATTGTTCAGCTTCTACAGACCAGCAAAGATAGAAACCTGGGGATTTCCTGGGCTAACCCACAATCAGGAAGGTACAAGAGTTCAGATCTTAACAATGCTAATATTTACTGAGTGTTTACTACATTCCAGGCACTATTCTAAAGACTTACATATATCAACTCATCTGTCTTCCTAATAATCCTATGAAGTAGTTATGGCTATTGTTTTCGGTCCTATTTTACAGAAGCACAGAGAGATTAGTCACCAAAGGTATCAGCTAGAAAGTAGCAAAGCTGGGATGTAAGCTCAGGCAGTCTGGCTCCAGAATCCACGCTCTTATTCACTGCTTAGTTACACGAACTCCACTTCAGTCTGGACCAAGGTCAACCTAAGCACTATTGACATTTTGGGCTAGATAATTCTTTATTTTGAGGGGGCTGTCCTGTGTATTGTAAGATATTCAGCAACATCCCTAACCTATAGCCACTAGATTCAATACAGCTCCTTCCCCCAGATGTGACAAACAAAAATGTCTCCAAACAATGAAAAATGTCCCCTGGGGGACAGAACTGCCTCCAGTTGAGAACGGCTCATCTAAATCTACTGGGAATTTTTCTGAGTATACTTACTCTCCAGATGGAAGATATTTACTTGGGAAGAGAGAAGGGAAAAAAAAGAAAAAGAAAAAAAAAATTCCTTGGGGGACTTTGGTCATCACATACTCCCCCAGCTGGAAGGTCTTTCTCTGGCCTCAATTCCCATCTCAAGGCCCCATCTTCCACCTCCACACCCAGCACATCAACCTCTACCAGCAGGCCTCCCCACCAGATGCCCTGCACTGGATGACAAAGCCCTGGGAGGGAGCAGACAGGGTCACCTTCTTGAGAAAGGCCTTCTTTATGGGCAAAGGAACCTGGGTCCCTAGGGGACAAGGAGTCTGGGTTGCTCCCACTCTGCTGAGGGAGTTCCCCTTGCCCCCACCCCCCAGGGCTTGTAAATAGATTATAAAAATATAAGGAAGAGAGGGGTGAGTGAGAAGAGGCCTTACTTCCTATCCTCCCCCTTCCCCTGGTCCTCTATCACTGGGGCCCTTTGTTAAAAAAGAATAATGGAAGAATTTAAAAAAAAAAAAGAGAGAGAGAAAAAGAAATTCCCAGCTTCTCCCCAAGGAGAGGAAAAGTTGGTCCACAGTGTCCAATGCCCGAACTTTTATGGGAGCTACCAGAAGGACTGGCTTCTGTCCTGCCTGTCCAAAGTGATGATGGTACTTGGCAAAATCTAGGTGCTAAGGCTAGTTAGAACAGACTGATGTTTGGGCTGGAAGTTGCTATAACCCCTCCCTTCCAGCTAAGCACAGAGTAAGTGGGAAAAATCAATTCTGAGAAAGAACAACAAAGCTAGAGGCATCACACTACCTGACTTCAAAATATATTGATTTCAAAGTTACAGTAAACAAAACAGTAAGGTACTGGCACAAAAAAGACATGTAGATAAATGGAACAAAATAAGATAGCCTAGAAATAAATCCACACATACACTGTCAACTGATGTTTGACAAGGCTGTCAAGAAAACACAATGGGGAAAGCATAATCTCCTCAACACATGGTGTTGGGAAAACCAGATATCTATGTGCAAAAGAAATAAATTGGATCCTCATCTTACCATACACAAAAGTCAACTCAAAATGGATTAAAGATTTAACATTGTCATTAAACATAATGACAAAGAGAAAACTTAGCGCTACTGTATTAGATTTGCAAACACTTTTTAGGAAGGTAAATTTTGCTAGCTGTCGAGTATATATATATATATATATATATATATACAGCTGTGCCAAAACAAAAACAGGATAATTCTCACACCTAATTCTTACCTATTTAGCCTTTACTACCAACAAGGGGATAGACCAGATAAGTCGAGAAATGCATTAAGTACCAATTTATAATAAAATTTACATAATGAATATTTCATTTTCATAAGTTTCTACTCTTCCTCATTTTCCTCTCACTAAGCCTAGCAACTTTTCAGTCTAAATATTTATCACCATTAGTCTACCATATTCTACTTTCTTCCTTCCCAAAGAGGATTTGTCTCCACAGCAATGCTAATACTTAATAATGTGGTAAATTTAATGATCCAAAGAACTGAGCTAAAAGTCGCTTATTGTCTATTTAAATTGGGTTTAGCAAATGCCAATGTTACACATTAATTTTTTTTTTAATTTACATCATGCCCAATAACTGAAAAATATTCTGATTCTGATAAAATTGGTATTTATAATCAAAAAAGATGTTTGGTAATAACTCTGCTCTCTGTTTATGAATTAATACCTTTAAGAAGTAATTTCCTATTTATTTTTTGGATAGATTTAATAAATGGCTATTCACTTTTTGTTTGGTTGATCAAAAACATGTCAAAACAAACTTAAAATTTCAACATTATAATAATATGACTTCCTTACGAGGATTATCTCTCCTAATCCAAGTTGAGCACGTCCCAAAGTTTGCCAAGACTCCCATGAATGTGGATTTCGCTGGACAGCCATTTCTGCAGCATGTACTGCTGGGAACATTTCATGAAGAGACATTAAGACCTACAAGCCAAAAAGAAGAAAAAAAAAAACCTGTCAGTAATATTCATAAATTAGCAAACTACTGATGGATAAACCATACATAAACAACCTTTTCATTTTTTAAAATATAGTTTTAGTCCAGTAAACATAGCATTTCAGTGGTTTGTACCCCCTTCTCTGCCATTCAGGGTCAGGAATTTTATTCCTCTTTTCACAAATATAAGTATGAAAATATAAACTATTCCCTTTCCAGTTACTGAAAACTATATCCATCTGGTCAAAACTAAGTAGTCATATTCCAGCCATGGTGTCTCAGAGCTGTTTGAACCCCCAATTCCACTTATATTTATTCTATTTACAATGTGGCTTTTAGGGAACCCTAGGTCTTGCTGTAGGACCACATAAATTAATTTGTTCAACCAGCCATCCTGTCCCTAGTAAACATCTTCCTGCTATAAAAATCATTTAAACATTCCATATACCTCCTCACATCTGGGCCTTTCAACTTCAAACTGTACAATCCTGAAAAATCACAGAATTCTAGAACCCTCCACTTCAGTCTATGGGAAGGGCTGGATTTTATCTATAATCTTTGGGACCATTAACATTTTAGAAGATTTGTGACACAAATTTCACGATTAGGTTCTAAATTAAACAATTCTTCATATAAGTTCTCTACAAATCCTGCCATTAATAATACTTACTTAATACTGAAAATTAAAGACATCCAAATGAAGGTCCTTATAACACTTGATTCAGTGGACATAATTTATGAGTTTTACTTGGATAAACTAAAATCAAAGCTGGTAAGGGGTATGTCCCATGTATCTTGAGATCATCATCTGAAAAATACTTAGGTGTGCAGATCAAGACTGAATTGCAACAACAATTCCCTGCCGAAAATATGTTGAATGCTCTCTTTGAGACTTTTAAAGTCTCTTGGATAACCTAATTCAAGTGCTCTGAGGTTTTCTTTATGGACTTTCCCACAAAATATTAGAAATGTATATTTGAAGTACAAATGTTATTTTTAAACTATTAATAATTGTGACCTTTTGCTAAGGACTAGGCCATTTTTAGAGAAATCTCATCCAGAACCCAATTCATCCTCATTTTGAAGAAAACTGAGCAATTGCTAAGTCTACTACGCTTAATTTACAAAGAAAGCAAACACTTTTTATTTATGTAAGAGATCACCAGTGACTTTTAAAGATATCCATCTGCTCATATCTTGCCAGTTAGGTGGAAATAACAGTCAAATTCATAGTGAAGGCAAATGGATTTCTAATTTTATGTATAAGGCAGAGCCATAAGTAATAAGAGTAAAATATTTTTTTCCCCAATAAATTGTATTTGAAAAAGAAAATGGGAGGAAATGCTAGTTTGGTTCATCATTGGTCACCAAACATAGAGCAACTTCATAATAGAGTAAAATTCTTGATAATTATTACCTGTGATTTCATCTCATACAGGGTAGCATCATTTGGGGTTAAGTGCAGTGCTTCATCCCATTTCTGAATTGCCTCTCGATATCTGTAGTTGTGAAAGTTATGTTAATATCGTATTTTCAATACATCTTTCAAAGTACATGACCAAATTTAAAAATCAGGTACTAGGGAATAATTGTTTATCAAAAAATATCTCTACTCAGGAACTAATAATACTAATGCTACAAATGCAAGAATAATTAAAGAGATGAAGGGAAAGGCAGAAAGAGAAAAAAGCAAAATACAAGTAAAAGATATATTAGAAATCCATTTTATTTTACTTTCTAGGCTGAGAAATCACCACCAGAATTCTCTTTTTCATTAACCTTGATGTCTGCATATGCCCCCCTCATTTTAGATGTATTATAAAGGACTTTTCTGAGAAATGGACGATGCAGTTGCAACCCTGGGCTCTGCTGCAGCAATCTAGCTGATATAGATGACAGTTCAAGAAGATGCCAGATAATTAGGTAAAGATTCTTCAGTTTTAAGTTTCTTTGCCTATAAGGGCAGGGACTATATCTGTTCTGTTCATCACTATTAATACATGGTAAGCTTATTAGAAAGGTGAAATGAACAAAAAACAATACAGAAGTGGTGATTTCCACTACCACCTTTTCATTGACGTTTTCCTAGTCAGGTCTCTCTTGAGCTCCAGGGCCATTCAGTCAATTAACATCTTCAACTACATGTCCCACAGACAGCTCAAACTCAGTATGCCCCAAACTGAGTTTAGCACACTCCACGCCAAATCTGTAGGTGCACAGCAGCACTTTTTTCTTTTTCAATAAAATTAAGGGCCAACCAAGTCTTGTGTTTTATCCAAAACAGTCATCTTCACAGTGTCCTTCACAAATGGTTAACCAGTGTATACTTGAATATTTCTAGGAGGAGAAAGTTCTAATTACTAAAAATTCTTCATTAGAATGAGCTGAAACTTTCTATCCACTACCTTTACCCCAATGATACGAGTTCTGCTTCTTAGAGGTAAACAGAAAATATATAATCTACCAGTTTTCATTCTTGGCTATGTGCAGAATGGTTTAGGGAGATTATGCAGGGGCAAAAATGCACACGTACACACATGCACACACGTGCCTATTAAACCCATTAAAACAGAAACTCTTGGGCAAGGGCCCAGACATATGCATTTTTAAAAGCTCCCCAAGTAATACTAATGAGAAACCAGGACTGTGAAACCACTGATATTATCTGTCGTAGTATCTTAAGTCAGACCTGTCATGTGCTGTCTTCTCTTGAAAGACTTGTTATTTGTTTTCCAGATAGTTCATTTCCTCTGTATGTGTTCTTGTGCATAATTTCATTCCTAATGTGTGAAAATCCAAACCAAATATAATAACCAAAATGTCATCTGCAGATTATTATTTAAGCAGGGAGCAGAAAACTAAAGAAATAAAGGCAGAACTTGGAAAACACAAAGTTGAAGTACATAAGAAAGCATATTCGCTCCCTCTTTTTCACCTGGCTATTGAGTTCCTTTACTAATAAATAATACAAATGGACAATAACACTTCTGAGGTCTCATACCATCTTGACAAATGGCGAATGGGCTATTGCCGCCTTAGAATAAGTTTGCCACTGTGCCAACTCCATGGCTAGCAGCAGAGGTGAGAGTGGGCACAGTGGAAGGGTGCTTTACAAAGCCTGCCTTAACTGCCATCCTAGGTTGTGGCAGTGAATATGGTTATTTTGTAGTTATTCTGTAGCTTATGCATAACTATCACCTGAACATCTACACCACAAAGGCTGGCAACCTTTGTTTCTAGGCAAATCATACCTGAATATGCAAAGACAGCTGTCAGAACTGTTATCTAGACCACTGTTAATATCTTTTTTTCTAACAGAGGCCTTTGCTGAGTCCTGAGGAGACATCTGTTTAACATTATGTTTAACTCTGGGTCAAAGACTGCTCAATCCCATGATTTGAACACAGTGTGACCATCTTACTCATTCTACTGCATTACTCACCTCATTATTATGATATGCTACCATGATGCTGTGTATTTTTCCCTGGCTCTGCCTGCATCAACGATGTTCTTATACGTCAAAAATCAAATCTCTAAGTGTTTCACTAACTGACATTATTTCACTATGAAGGATTATGCCAAACCCAACACCTGTCTAGAGCCAGGTTCCCCAAAGTGGGAAGAGTGGAGACACGTAGTTTCATCGGCTGCTGTCAGTTCTCTTTCTTCCATCTGAGTTAGAGACACCTTTGAAGTGCTATCTGCATTGCTCTGCTTTCCATGTACTTGAGCACATCTGTCAAGAGACAGGCTATGGCCATTATCTTGGCCTGCACATGCCCGAGTGGATGACACACAATTCTCCATACAAACTTTATGCTTAGGAGGCAGTAGACATGAGTTGGCTAAACCACTGTGATAGCTCCTAGTTATCCTCAGTGACAATCTGAGGCTCCCAGTCATCTTCAGATAATTCACATGTTAATGTTAGCTTAGAACACAGTTCCAAGTAAGCCACTTAAGGTATCTATTCAGGTGCTGTTAAAATTTCAGGTACCATAAAATTATTTATGAATTACAATTACTCTATTAAAATACCATAAACTATACAGAATTCAGTGACTAGTAACTTCTGAACAGTCAATATCTATCAGATCACACTGCTTGAATTCTTATGCTAACCCCTCTACCATTCTTAGAGTCCTTCCTTTCCCAGACCCCTCCCCACACCTGCCCCACCAAGAAAATGTAGCCTTCTTTAAGCAAAAGTTACTTTAAAAAAAGAGGGATAGTAGGGAAAAGATGCAAGGACCTCACCTGATACTCAAGTTAACAAAGGAGAAGATGAAAAGAAACCTATACAAAAGGAATGAGAAAGTCTGAATTCTACTGGTGGACTCTTGGGATAAGAAACCACAGCTTACACGTAGGAAAGAAAGAAAAAGAGGTAAAAGGCAGGATTTGCACAAATTCCAGTGGACTTCTTACTTCCTTCTTTGATCTGCATATTTGTTTCTATGAAGGCAGCCTAAGACTGCAAATCTATGTTGGCAACTAAATCACAGCTAATGTTGTATATATAATTATTTTTCTAACACAAAATGTCCGTAAATCAGCTCTCTCTTATATTCTGTGCCTGAGTAAATGACAGTTGTTTTGATATAAAAATTGCTTCCTGGATATACAAATTGAGAAGAATCAGAAAATAGACAAAGCACACACACAAATACAAATAAAAGACAATCATAATTTCACCACCAAAAGATGATAACCACAGTTAACCTAGTTAACATTTTATTGCATATTCTTCTAGTTTTTTTTACATATTGTACATCACATATACATGTGTGAAATATTTTTCCATGTCTTTAAATCATTAAATGTTTCTCTCTATAGCATAATGCTTAAAGGCTGAATACTGCTATTCTAATGCACAGTTATAACAAAACTTATTCGATCGATCCTCATTGTTATACATTAAAAATTGCCCTGTGTCCACTACAATTCCCTTTTGGAAAGAAGTGGACCATGAATAATAATTATTAAAGAAAAAATATTGTATTTTGGAGTCAAATATTATATTGGATGTAAAAGTGACTGGAAATGTGATCACCCTAAAAGGAACATTGTATAACTCAAGATATCATTCTCACTAATATCTTTCAGTTAAGAAGAAAGCTGATGAGAGAATAAATAAACATTATCTTTACTTGTCGATACTACTTCTCTTCAGATTTTCTATTAACATGACCTGCCAACTTTATAAGAATAATTATAGTTCCCAGTAATAGTTCCCATAATAGTTATAATATAGTTCCCCTAATTTTAGTTCCCAGTAGGCTTCGTTATTAGAATTAGCAATCTCTAAGCTAATCAAAAAAGAGTGGAAGCAGGTATGAGTAGGTCCAGCACAAAGAAACATGGCTGCCAAAGTGCTTGAGTACATCAGAAAGCTTGTCCTGGCCTTAGCCATTGCAAGAGACTAAGTGAACTCTGCCTTATATAATGTGGATGCTGAGCACAGAGCTGTCATATTTTTTTGTTTGTTTGTTTTTATAAAAGATGACCGGTAAGGGGATCTTAACCCTTGACTTGGTGTTGTCAGCACCACGCTCAGCCAGTGAGCCAACCGGCCATCCCTATATGGGATCCGAACCCGGGGCCTTGGTGTTACCAGCACCACACTCTCCCGAGTGAGCCACGGGCCGGCCCATGTCATATTTGACCAGTTCTGTGAGTGTAGGACATTGTGGTAGGGGAAGCAACTCACTTTCTAATCCCTTGGGTACAGAAACCAATTATCTTTGACTGCTGCTCTTAACCACGTAATGTTCCAGTCACCCCTGGTAGCAAAGATTTACAGAATGTTAACATCACACTGTGCTTCCTTTTCTGGTCTGTTGCTAGCCAGCTTCCCTGCATCTTCACCAGCATCGGAGAGGACTACTATGAATGTGTGCTGTTGCCCATCACTACAGAGATTCTCAAGTCAGTGGTGGCTCGCTTTGATGTTGGAGAACTAATCACCCAGAGAGAGCTGGTCTCCAGAGAGGCAAGCAATGACCTGACAGAGCGAGCAGCAACCTTTGGGCTCATCCTGGATGATGTGCCCTTCATCTGACCTTCAGGAAGGAGTTCACAGAAGCAGTGGAAGCCAAATAGGTGGCCCAGAAGGAAGCAGAGAGGGCCAGATTTGTGGTGGAAAATGCTAAGTCGCAGAAGAAGGCAGCCATCATAGCTGCTGAGAGCCACTCCAAGGCAGGTGAGCAGATCGCCAACTCCCTGGCCACTGTGGGTGATGTCCTGATGGAGCTGTGCAAGCTGGAAACCACAGAGGACATCACGTACCAGCTCTCATGTTCTTGGAACATCACCTACCTCTCTGCAGGGCGGTCCGTGCTCCTCCAGCTGCCCAAGTGAGGGCCTGCCCTCCTGCACCTCCTTGCGCCAACTGGGCCACAGCCCAGTTTCATTATGAACAATAAGCATTATGATTTTAAAATTTTATTTTTAGTCTTATAGAAAAGGGGAGAAATCCTTATAATGAAACAAAAAAAGC